AGCAAAGATCATTATTTCGCTCAGAATGAGGTAATGTTCTTGTTAGAAGTATAGACTCAATGAATTGTTGACCCGGTAGTTGGTTATGAATTTCTACATGTCTCTTTCGTTGTGGCAGTATTGTAAGAGTTGGAACAAGACTTATACACGTCATGAGGTACATTGTGAGTGTCAGATTTGGGGAAGTCGGTTATTACGATCAGAGAATGTTATTATGGTCCTGTGAATGACGTGATGCATAGTGTGAATTCAGCAAAGGTATGCAATCTTGTATCGGTGCATCATATGGTGATTTATACGGTGTTCATATGTTGAAAGCAGGCCTGGCCGAGAATTTCAGATGTTGGAATTGGGCTCTAAGCTTGTTTGCTTGAATAAAAGGGAATATCTTCATAATTTATTGACCTAACGTGCTCAACTGGGTGGTAATAGCACGGGTAGGTGCACGAGGTGTTAAATAGTGATTTCATACAAGTCCAGCTCAACTCTTAGCACCTTCGAGGACGAACATATGTTTTAGTGGGAGAGAATGTAACGACCTGACCGGTCGTTTGGAGATCTAGCGCGTCGTTCAGCAGTTTGAGGCCATGAACAACTTCATTTCAGGTATTATGACTTGTACGCATGGTCGGAATTGAATTCCGGGAAGTTCGGAGTTGATTTGGGAAGAGAATTCTCATTTCAGAAGCTTTGAGTTGAAAGAATGACTAAGATTGGATTTTTGAGTGAATGACCTCGAAATCAGGATTTGAAGGTTCCTGCAGGTTCGTATGATAATTTCGGACTTGTGTGCAAAATTTGAGGTCAATCGGACGCGATTTGATAGTTCAGCATCGAATGTAGAAGTTTGAAATTCTAAAGTTCATTAAGCTTGGATTGGAGGTCGATTCATGATTTTAGCGTTGTTTGATATGATTTGAGGCCTCGAGCAAGTCTGTAATGTGTTTTGGGACTGGTTGGTGTGATTGGACGGGGTCCCGAGGGCCTCGAGTGGATTCCGGATGGTCAACGGATCGAAAATGGAATTGGAGGAAAGGCTGAAGCAGTTGGGCTTCTGGTGTAACCGCACCTGCGTGAGGAGCACCGCAGGTGAGGGCCCGCAGGAGTGGGGGGTGACCCGCAAAAGCGGATGGAAGTGGAAGGGTCAGAAAAGCAGGTGCGATGGATTTCCCGCACCTGCGAGGTCGCACATGCCGTCTAGGCAGCGCATAAGCGGTTTGGGGCAGCTGGAGAAGGACCGCAGAAGCGGTACTGGAACTGCACCTGCGGAACCGCAGAAGCGGTCAAGTGACCGCAGGTGCGAGAGGTCGGGCTGGGCAGTGTGTTCTTTAAAGAACGAGTTTTGGCTCATTTTCCACACATTTTCACTTGTGTTGGGCACTTTTGGAGCCTTTGAAGAGAGGGATTTCATCATCAATCATGAGGTAAGTTAATCCCACCTCTTGTAAGTTAAATACATGGTTTTATTGCGGATTAAAGTATGGAAATTGGTAGAAACTTGGGGTTCTGGTAGAAAGACCTAGAATTTGTATTTTTGGATTTTGATCACGATTTTGGATATGAAATTGAGAGTAAATTATATATTTGAGTTCGTGAGGTTGTGGATAAACTTTATCTTCGAAAAATTTCGGAATCCGGGCACGTTGACCCGAGGGCATTTTTGTCAACTTTTCGATCGGGCTTAGGAGTTGTTATAAGTTGGATCATTAGGAGTAATTGAGCATATATTAATTAATTTGCATAATTATTGGCTAGTTTTGAAGCATTGTGCATCGATTTGAGTCTTCGGAAGGGCGTGGAATGCCGGTTATGGAACTTCGGAGCGAGGTGAGTCTCCTTTCTAACCTTGTAAGAGGGGATTGTCCTCATATGTGAGTTAATTGGTTATGAACTCCTATTTGTGGGGGCTACATACGCACGAGGTGATGAGAGTCCGTGCGTAGCTACTATTATGCTTATGTCCCGGTAGCCTAGGACCCAAAAGCATGCCTAATTGTAATAAATACAACCTTGTTGACAAATTTAAAAATACTTAAACATGTCGAACATGTAAATGAATTTCTAAAAGACTAGATATCATTACTTGACTTTTAAAAGAGAAACTTGACTTTTCCTGAATAATTACTCCTCGATGAATTATTGATACTGTTGAATGTGGTTATCTATTATGGAATGGGCCGAACGCCTCGGTAGATTAAATAGATGCATCTATGGTTCGCGCCATTCGACCCTCTGGCAGTGCACAGTTTATATATTGTTGGATCGGGCCGTACGAACTCGGCATGATTTGCGCATGCTTGTATTGCCTTCCTTGAAATTTATTGAAGTTGATATTGTTTCTTCCCATCTTGAGAATATATGTACAAATGATAAGAAATTTGGGAATTTCCTATAAAAGAAAGAAATATTTATTTGCTTCATTCTATTGAATTATAATCATGTTTATAAAAATCCTCAATTTATTTTATTATTGATGTATCACTATTGGACCACTAGTAAGTGTCGATGTCGACCTCTCATCTCTACTTCTTCGAGATTAGACGGGATACTTACTGAGTACACGTTATTTTCGTACTCATGCTACACTAGCTGTGCATTTTTGTTGCACAAGTACATGTACTTCTAGTGGCCTGCTGGGCGTAGCAGCATGGATGAAACGGGGTCTAGGTGAGCTGCATTTTCGAGGCGATCCGTAGCCAGTATAGTCTCTTTCTGTATATTGTATTTACTTTCTGTCCAATTTGTATTCCTGACAGTTATTGTACTTTATTCGAATCCTTAGTAATTGCTCATGCACTTGTGACACCGGGTTCTGGATGTCTATGGGATTAGTCAGTATGTTGAAAAGATATCATTATTTATCCAGTGGAATTTATTCTCTATGGTTTCATTGTATAAACGAAGTAAATTCAGAAATATTTAAAACGAGAAGTTACTAGTTATTTAGTGTTGGCTTGCCTGACAATGGTGTCCGGCGCCATCACGACCCTTAGTGGATTTTGGGTCGTGACAAGTTATAAGACAACAAGTAATTAAATTCAAAATCCTAATTCTCAAACCCATTAACATACTACTCCTATTGAAACTAAACTATTTTCCGCATATGTCACGTTTCCGCATATGTCCTAAACCAACATTTCTCCCCCTCCTCAGTGTTACGTGAGTTTTGTTTCACTGTCTATATGTCACGTTTAATTAGTGGTGGCAAAATAGATAAAACAAAAGTAGTTATTCATCCATATTATTTACTAAAAATTAGATTGAACAATAAATTTTTAAAAATGGGTCAAGTATTGATAAGAGTCATATTACTCACTTAAAAAAATATATTACCATGGATTTAACTTTTAGTTTTGCAAAGACTCAAATTTGGGGTTCACCAAGTTTAGAAGACTATGAATTCTCCCAAAAGTGATCATATTTAAGAAGTTATCTACCGTTTAACCTATTCTGTTATCCTGATTAAATATGGATGGGGTTGGAAATTTTACCTGTAGTCGTTTTTGATCCACCTATATCCGATCTGACCCATCCACTTACCACCCTTGCATTCAATGAAAGTCTTCTTGACTGTCAATCTGACCAAATTTTTAGAAAATACCATATAACTAGGGACGGAGCTTGAGTGTCAACTACGGGTTTGATGAATCTAGCAGCTTTTGTTTAATTCTTTTATTTGACTTAAAAATATATATTAAATATATATAATTTATTATTTAGAATCAAATACTTAAAAAGTTAGAGTTTCGAACTCATAAACTTAAAACTTGACTTTGCCTCTGCATATAACATGGTACTATAGTTTTTTAAGCATAATTTTTTATTGACTATAAATATGAAGTTTCAATCACCTTTAAAAGTATCGTATTAATTATTAAAATGAATTTATTAGATGAAAAGTCAGATTTTCTTCTAATAATAATTTTCACAAGAGCATATCATGATTATTGCATTTAAATTGTTTTATCAATTTGAACAAAAAATATAGAAAAAAACTAGACTGTTAGTGTGTCTCATATAAACTCTACCAGAAGTCAGAAAAAAGAAATAAGCAAATTTTTGGGGTCTAAACATAATTAAGGAAAAAAGATACCTAACCGCGTTTTCCCGCTCAATTCCTAACAGCTTTTTGATAATTGTAGGACTACTAAAATGCTTACTTAAAAAATAACTTTTGGATCATTTTCCAATAGTCGTGTTCATATTATATATACATATGAGTTTGAAGATACCTAATATACTTTATGATATTAGTTATCAAAACACGCACACACACGTTAGTAATAAATAGGGGTAATATTAAAAAAATCAAATAAAAGACTTCTCTCTCAGTGCTCTCGGCGTAAGTTAGTCTAACCTACGCCAGTGTGACAATGGCAGGGGCGAGAGGCAGGGGTGGTGACCAAGGAAGAGGACGAGACCGACCACGGAAGATACCGTTTAACAATTTTGAAATTACAGCTGGAAACAATGAAGATTCAAAGGAAGATGATGAAGATGTGATAAGAACAACACATGCAAACAAGGGATCTGCAGCTAAGACTCAAGTAGAAGCTTCAGCTGGAACTAACAAGTCTCAGTTGAGCTCAGATGTAGCTTTGAAGGAACGGGATCTAGGAAGGGAAGTAACAAAAGTGATTGAGGTCAACTCGCAACCGCAAACCAATGGAACAGTAACACTAGCGGAAGAGAGCAAGGAAGAGGCAAAGGTGGAGGAGAAATCAGCATGGGCAAGCTTATTTGCGAAGAACAGAGTAGCAGAAAACGGTGTGAAACTAACCTATATTCCACCACAAGTGGTTGATGGATAAATAATTTTTCAATTGGATAAGGAAGAGGTTGATAGAGAAACGAAAAAATGGAAAAGGGCTCTAATTGCATATGTACTGGGAGATTTACCATGATATAATGTAATGAAAAGGTATATAGAAACTAATTGGAACTCAATTCCAGATCTATATATGCATGAGGATGGTTATTATATCATCAAATTTAAGACGATGGATGATATGCAGGAGATTTTGTTTGCTGGACCATACATAATCAATAATAGACTTATTATTCTTAAACAATGGACAACTGATTTTGATTTTGAGAAGGAATTCCCCACTGAAATTCCTCTATGGATTAGGTTTCCAAAACTTCCACTGAACTGCTGGGATGTGAACTCACTAAGTAGAATAGCAAGTTCAATTGGCACACCTATGTATGCTGATGAATGTACAGCTAAACAATTGAGAGTATCCTATGCTAGGATGCTAATGGTGGTGGATATGACAAAACCTCTGAAGGATGAAATAACTGTTGAAGATTCAAATGGGAGGACCTTCTTGCAGCCAATTAACTATGATTGGAAACCAAAATTTCGTGAAACGTGCCAAGTCATTGGGCATAACTACAAGCAAGAAGGGAGAAGACAGAATCAATATGGTGCAACTATGAATGATAAGAGCAAGCCAAAGAAGATAACGCAGCAATGGGTGACTAAAGAGAAAGGAAAGACAAAACAAGCAGAAGAAGAACCTACGCTAGAACAGGAAATAATTATACAACAACTAGAGACCATAAGGGTAATGGAAGCGGGACAAGGTTCAGGTGTGACAAAGATGAATATGCCAGTATTACATGAAGATCAAACACCAAAGGTTATGAGTAAAAATCAAGAGGTGGAGAGGATAAGTGCAGAGTTTAATAATATCAATTTTCCAGTGCTTGGTTCAGTTCCACTGAGGAATGGATTTCAAATACTGAGTAGAGAGGAGAATGGTGCTCACACTGTACCTCCTGATATAGGAGGTAAGTCAAAGAGATCAATATGAATTGTCTAGTGTGGAATATAAGGGGATTGAATAAGAGATATAACCAGAAAGAAGTGAAGAAAATACTGAAAAAAAATAAATAGGAGTAGCAGCTATTGTTGAAACAAGGGTCAAGGAGAATAAAGCTGGAATTATTACTAGAAATATAGCCACGGGATGGAATAGTTTGTATAATTATTCATCTGCTAAAAATGGGAGGATATGGGTACTATGGGACACAAACAACTATCAGGTAGTTAAGCTGACGGAGACTGCTCAGATGATGCATTGTGAAATTACAGGGAGTGCATATCAGACTGACTGCTTGGTGACTATCATATATGGCTTCAATACAATGGAACAAAGGAAGGGGTTATGGGAAGATCTGAAGACATTAGCTCAAGGTATCACAAAACCTTGGCTAGTGATAGGTAATTTTAGTGCAATAATGTGTTCAGCAGACAGAGATCAGGGTAATCCTGTACATCAAGCTGATATTCAAGACTTTGTTGATTGCATTCAGACAGCTAATCTAAATGAATTGATATGGAAAGGGGATTACTATACATGGACCAATAAACAAAGAGTGGAAGATAGAATTCAAAGAAGAATTGATAGGGTGTCGACGCCCCCTTTTTCCTCGCGGAATCGGGTTCACGATATTTGGGAAGACAACTCTTTTCCCACTTTGGGAATTGGGTTTTTTGAGAGTTTGGAGGGTCGCCACCTAATGATTATAGTGCATTAGGACACTTTTAGAAGAATTAAAGATGCAGACCAGAGTTTTGGGTAAGGGCTTGAAATTATCTCGAGGGGAAGGTGTTAGGCACCCCTCAAGATCCACTAGTGTGGTTCACGGCCATGCTACCATTGTGACTTTAGATGTAAAAAATAAACAAGTACAAGAAGCACAAAAGGTTAAAAGAAGTGCTGAATTTTAAAGGAGCAATTTTGTAAAAAAACGTGCAAGTGGAGAAAAAGGTCAAGTACTTAGTGCAAATAATCCGAAAAGATCATGCGAGAAGTAGGAATTGAAAATGCAATAGCTTTAAAGATTCAGAAAATTTTATTAAACTAATAAAGAAGGAGAAAAGGGTCATAGGTTTATACATTACATGGATCATTCGCACAACACCGGTACTCAATTGTACGCGGAGTGTTAACGTGTAATCATCATCTCCATGTCTACCCTTCCCACCCTGTTTAGGTATTAAAGCGCGGAACCGTATTGTTTACTTATCGCATGCTACTACCCGTCCCAATCCTATTAGTCCCGGGGTATTAGGACTTCTAATCCTAAAGGGAAAGAAAGGGATGGGGGCCTTTGTGGAGTTTAAAGGATAAAATTTTAGCTCGACATTCAAAACAAGTATCAAGTAAAAGGGGAGGACAATCAAGAATACAAGGCTCAAATTAACCCCAGAAGTCAAACAATTATTTAGTTTAGCATGCCTTGACAAATACTGATTTGGTCTTAGATTAAATTAAGCAGCGAGCGGACTGGTTCAACGCATGTATTTAAACAGATAGTCTGCATTAGGCAACTCGGATATAGTTGTCAGGGACAGACCCAATTCATTAATTAGCCAACCCTTGTTTATGAGTTGAAATAAAAAACCTAGGCGTAGGATCTATTAATTTCAGGAAAAAGATGCAAAGAGGTACTAGTAGTTTCAGAAAAGATGCAAGTTGATTTTAGAAAAAAGAATTATCAGTGTAAACAAAGAGAAAAGATGCAAACCGATTTTTAGAAAAGAGTTACCAGTTATTTCAAAAAAGATGTAGACTGATTAAAAGGTTTACGAGTTTCGGGGGAGTGCAGATTGGCTATAGGAAAAAGGTTTACCAATTTTAGCGGGCTTCAGAAGTAGAAAATTACCAGTTTTAATAATGACACTAGTTCCAGCAATCGATACTGTTTAAGAACGAATGATGCTATTAAAGACGAGGTTTCCTATAGGCATGCTTTCTATATGTTTACTGATTTTAACACCCTTTCCTGATATCAATAAGAGTCTTATACACATGATGTCTATATGCAACTTTGTTATTAAGCCTATAAACGGTTTGCCTAATGACATTTATATATGCAGAAATGCAAGAGCCTATAGACGTGATCTCTATATGTGTCATTACAGAACATGAATGTTAAATCATATAGACATGCTTTCTAGGTGATTTTTGCGGAAAAGTTAAGCGTTAAATCCTATAGGCATGGTCTCTATGTGATTGAATCAGTATTAAAGACCCTATAGGCAGGATTTCTAGTTTGAATAAAATCCTAATTCATGATTTCTACCCCTTGGATACAAGAAAAGTAAAGACCCCTCCCACACCCTTTTACTATACTCCCCGAGTTTCATACAAAATTATTACAACCCAATGAATCAAACTGGAAATTAAAGGATACATCAAAAGCTAACAGCTAGATCCGAGTAGCCTAATTCAACCTTAATGTCTAATAACATGCGATTGAGCCACTTCCCGGATCCAGATTTCCAAAGCCTTCTCTTTTTCCAAGGTGCTTCAAAGTTCCAACGAATCTCAGGGATTCCAGGCATTGCTTACACCCAGGATACTACCAGAATTAGAATAGTGCAGTGTGGAAGAGCCGGCTCTCATGCATCCAAGTTCAGAGGGAGCTCGGGGTCCCAAAGCATGGCTTGCAAGAGAGGGGAAGAACTTATAGATACAAGTGCAAAGTGAAAGGGAATTGGGGGTCCATGACAGGTGGTGGTCATACCTAGCTACAAAGTAGGCTGGCACACCCCTGACCACCTGCTTGGTCAAACACATTAAGAGCAGACCCTTGAAGGTCAGACCAAAGTCTGGACAGTGAATAGGACACTGCCCGACCCAAGTCTAAAGCTCAACAACACATAAAGGGGGAAAGGTAATGGGAACTGATTGAGTTTCGGATTCAAAGAATCCAATCCAGAATCATGGAAAACAATATTAGAGTGTTATCATGCCCAGAACCATAACACACCTATAAAGGGGTATGAGGCTTTGGGATTCATAAAGTATCAAATTCATGACAAACAACTGACAGGATGCATACATAATTTAAATACTGAATTACAAAGGAAAGGGGGGGAACATGTTACAATATGCTAGAAACAAATGTCAACTAAAAGAATTGGACAGAAGTGGGCAGAAGTAAACACATTGTGGTGGAGACATGTAAACTAACTGAGACATACCAGTAGAGAAGCAAAAGAGCGCAGGAGAAAGTAGAGTAAACAAAGTCCACAGCAGCACAAGTAAAAGAGAAAGAGTTTTTAAGTGAGAGTGACTTGTGGACTCCGATTGCGTTCTGTGTTCGTGTGTTCGTGTGTTCGTGTGTTCGTGTGTTCGCGTGTTCAAAGAAAAAGGAGGAGATATTTATAGCTTTGAAAATGTGTAGAGAAATAAGGTAACAAGTACAAATCTAACACAAATATTGCATGGTCACAAATCAGAATCAATTAGTATAAGACTCCCCTTTAATCAAGGAATTCTTATTCAAACGGATACTAACCGTATCCAAATAAGGAAAGTAGAACCAGCCTTGCAAGCAGAATGCCTGTTGCCATAAAAGAAAAAGTAAAGTCATACAATAGGCAATTAAGTCTAAGTACAGGATTTGAAATTATTTTTGGAAAGATTCAGTGGGGCCAATCAAAGGAAAAGGAATCAATTAGACTTTGACAGGCTAGTAAAATCAGGATCTCAAGGAAGGAAAGTTTTTTTGAAATCAATTTCGAGTTAAGTAAATCACAGGAGGTACTCAGTATATAATGCATGCCCAAATAGCAGACATGTGAGGCTAAGTTATGGCAAAAGAAACATCATGCAGCAATAGTATAGAGCAGACATTCAAAGCATGTTTGTTAGGATTCAAGGTGTAATAGAGAGAGAAGGAGTCGAAAACATGCAGAGGGTCGAGTGAGAATCACAAGCGTAGAACATATAGAGAAAAGAAATGTTGAAACAAGGCATCAAGTTGAATAATTTCAAACATACAAGCATGCACAAACAACCTCACAGGACTTTGAATTGCCTCCCAAAGAGACTAGGGTTTTCAAATCAGTTGAGTTTAGAGACGACAAACAGGTGAAATAACAAGCAATTTCAGAGTCCCAAGTGAAACCCTTAAAAATTAGGGTTTTCAGTAAACCAAACAGATAGGCTCATGAACTCGAATAAATTCCCAAAATTAGGGTTTTTAACATCAAACAAACCTAGAGATGATCCGCGTATGAATTGAATGAAATCTTAACAAACAGACTCAAACAATCACAAAATTAGGGTTTTCAACATGCTTACTCAGATAAGGAAAACAAACAACAAAGTCAGAAACATGCCAAGAAAAAGAGAGGAACTTCGAAATAAGTTAACCTAAAACCATAGTTAAAAGAACATAGAGTTTTGAAAGAAAAAAAATTGGGGAAACTTTGAGAAACATGCTCATAACGTTCAAACACATATAGATCTTGGAGCAGATCTAAGAAATAAATAGAAGGAACCTTAGAGCTAGGGTTTCATAAGAAACCCAGGCGATGAGAAAGGCTTTGGAAACTCCAGATCTAGGTAGAATAGTCGAAGATCGAGCTCGAATGGCCATGGCTGGCCGGATAGAGGTTGAAGGCGACCGGAGAACAGCCATCGAGCAACGGCTTGGTCGAGACCCCTTCAAGATCTGGTCGTAGGACCTCAGAGATGAGCGCATAGAAGCCTTGGGAGGCCGGTATAGGCCTTCGATGAGTCTGGGAAGCCATGGATTAGGGTTTCGATGAGAGGCGGCGGCTAGGGTTTGAGGTGAGTTGAGAGAGAGTTGAGAAAAAAGGAGGATTCAGAGGCGGCGTATTGTGAGGAATGGGGTAGGGTTTGGGGTCGTTTGAAATTAAAAAAGGAAAGGGGAGGTCAGGGCCGTTGATCAAAAATGATCAACGACTCAGATTAAAAGAAAGCGGGCGGGTTTGATTTAATGGGTACTGGGTCAGGTTGATTGGGTAATTGGGCTGGGGTAATTTGGGCTCAAATTGGGGCTGAATTGGGTTATCAATTTGGCTATAATTGAAATGCATTTGGGCTAAATCGTAAATAGCCAATTTTCCCTTTTTAATTTTTTATAAAATAGTAACACAATTTTAAAAGTAAATTAAGAGTACTGGGTAAATAAATATTGTATAAATATTAATTTAAAAATGCTGGGTTAATTTTATAATTATAAAATGCTAAAAATTACAAGATAGGCTATGATTGCAATTATATGCAATTTAGCTTTAAAAATGCCAAATGAATTTGTATAATATGCAAAGATTACCTTACTTATATTTTGGTGTAAACATGAGAATGAAATAAGTTAATCACCAAAAATGATAATTTGGGAATAATTTTGGATTTTTGTGGTATTAAAACAGGCAGTAAATTGGTTTAAAAATCATGAAAAATACCAAAACTCATGGGTGTGCTTATATATGCACACATATGCTATTTTGGAAGTATTTTGGGTACAAAAATACATAGGAAAAAATTGGGTATCAACA